AATCAATAATCCAAGTTGAAGTCAGAAGGCAGATCCAGGTTCTGTCCACAAGACGAATCCGGCAGATGTCCGAAGACAGGTCAGGCAAACAGATCAGAAGAGGGGCAGGAAGGCTCAAAGGTCCAAAAGCGAAACGATTCCAGATCAGGCAATGACAACACAATCAGTTACTCTAGAAAACTCTCACACCAAAGGCTCAACAATAATATGGCACTGATGGCTGGGACTAAGCAGCTTAAATAGAGGCAGGAGCAAGTGGATCAGATGGGCAGTAATGAGAAGCTGGGTAGAGTTAGACAGGTGAATGAAATGAGCAATTAAGCCAGTCATCAGCACCAACATCATAACAAAAGTGCTTTAAAACTGTCTTTATCAATGCTGGGTCAGATCCTGACATTTGAAAAAGTAGGCAGGGAAAGCAGGAGAAAACATTAGCCTCGCTGCATGCAGTTAGCCAAGCCTTCTTGCAAAATAATTCCATAAACCTGTCAATCAGCTGCACTTTCTAACAGCTGTGTCAGCACTGTGGGGGAGGTGGTGTGCAAATAAAATAGCTTGCAGATCTGGGGACAGGAGAGCTGCTCCCCAGGATGCTCCTATCTTTAGCATTGAAGAGGAGCTGCTGCACATGGACAACTTTTAACCAGATTCTATGGAAAAAGATTTTTGCACCTTACGGTGGAAATACGTCACCAATCCGACGACGAAACAGCTTTACGCATCATTAAAAATTAAATATTTATCTTGCACATCGAAAAAATATATATTAATATATTTTGATATATTGTAATTTCATTTCTATTTTTGACCTTGACCTTGATTATATATCTTAATGAAGGTCATTGGGTGAGTGGGGCAGCGCCCTTGGGGCCTTTATTGGCCAGCCGCCACTGATCCAAACCATCTTCCCTCTCTGTCAAAGAAGTGATGAGTAAAATGACCAATAATGTTGGACAGAGAGGAGAGGTGATTTGATCTGACTTGGAATGTGCTGAGGAAGATGGGCCTCCCTGTGTTTCAAAACATCAGCCCTCCTCCTAAAGCCAACACAACCCACAAAGTCTCCTGGATAGGAGCTGAAAAGTTTTCATTAAAAAACTGAGCAAAAATCTAGCTGCTTTTTGATTTAAACCTGTTTTGTTGTTGCAATGACCCACACAGGCTCAGACTGGGAACGATTTTCAGCCCTGGCCTTTCTCCATCTACACCTGCCCACTTATGGAAATGTTCATAAACCGCCTGGATATTCGAATCCTCGCCCAATTGGAACCAAAATCTATTGATCTCTTAGGCCATAAATCTAAAGAAAAACATTTTTTACCCATAGATTACCGTCCTTAACTGCCAGACGGGAAACGTTAGCCTTTAGATAGAAAACCCCATCATACACCACAACATATTTTTGCAAAATATTAAAACATAAATTCGCCAAATATAAGAGGAGCAACGTAGTTTGGTTTAAAGAAAGCATTTTAGTTTTATTATAATTTAGTTTGTTGCAAGGATTTTACTGTTTGAAGAAATAGAAAATGACACCATATGCCAACCGTCACAAAGAACTGCAGACAAAGAAGGCCTATATATACTGCATGCATCATTCAGGTAGTTAACATTGGATTACTTCTAGAGCTCCTTGAGTTATTTACTGTCATACGTAGGAGCTTCGGCCGAAGAGTAAGTGTTGGGGCCGGTATGATTTAAGGATGGCCGGTCCACCATCACAGATTACCAGTCCGAGCCTGGACCCCCATGATAGAGAATTTGCACAGAGATGCACAAAATGTTGGAGAACGTCAGTAAAATCCAGAATAGATTTTTAGTAACTGAGATCATCATCTATTGTAATTCTGTGATTAACTTTAACAAACTGGTGTTGACAGATCAATCAGTCAGGTTGTTAGCTCCGTTAACTAGCCTTCACTCTGCTGCTTAGCACAGCTGCCACTGTGGCATCATAGCATGCCAACTAAACTTTCTAAATAGCTTTACTTTAACAGCAGCCATGGTATTTCAGGATCACCAACTTTCTTGTTAAGGGTAGCCATCAAACAGGTGTGGGAGTGTGTGCTGCATGACTCAGCTCATTTAGCATTAGAATTTAGTTCTCTTAGGAAAGAACTGCACTCTAAAAAATTATCTAAACCTACTGTATCTGGTTTGTTTTATTAAAGGATACGTTGTGAACCCATCCTATCTAAAGTTATCTTTGAATGACGCTATAAAGAATAAGAGTGAACCTTCAAGACTGTAGATGATTTCAGTTCTATTCAGTTCATTTCTATAGCTCCAATTCACAGCACATGTCATCTCAAGGCACTTTACAATTCACCAGATCATCCAGGCAGATTGATTTAAAGTTTACTATCTAAGGAAAACCAGCTGATTGCATCGACTCGTTGACTTGAATGCAATCTCTCACACTAAGCATGCTTGTAGCGATAGTGGAGAGGAAAAACTCCCTTTGAACAGGAAGAAACCTTCAGCAGAACCAGGCTCAGTGTGAGCGGCCATCTGCTGAGGCCCACTGGGGTTCAAGGAGACAGAAGCAGACATAGAAAAAGAAGCATAGATACAAAAGGCGGCACCGTCCAGGAAACACACAGCCAGGCAGACGAGCTCCGAACCAGCTCCCATGTCAGAGGATATGTAATCACTTTCATCTAATCAGAGCTGCAGGGCAGAAATCTGTGTGTTTCATAACATCAACTTCAGTGTGACTGTAAGAAAACTAAAGATAATATACATAAAGGAGTTTTGCAGGTGACTGTCTGCACACTGGCAGCCCAGAGACGGCCTGTAGAAATTCAGTCCAAAGGTTTGAATCAGGGCTTACAGGTTTAATATGAATGAAAATATGGGAAGTACATTTATATTAGCGGTTACTTAGAGGCTGTACTCCCTTCCACTTTGTCCACCAAGAGCAATTTCATAGAAGAAATACAAAGTTCATCCATTTGAATAAGAAAAGCTCACTAATCAGAATATCTGTGTTCTGAGCAGATTTGATTTGATTAGTGAGCTTCCAAAAATCAGCATCTTCAGAATATTCCCACAGAAACCTGCCAGCTGGGCCAGATATATAAGAATCCTTCTCAACATTATTGTTATACATTTTTTTTTCTTCTTTAAAAAGTGAGCGAGGAAGAAAACATGCAGAGTGTAACTCTGACGCCTGTATGAAGTCTCATCAGGTCAGTTGGTGGGCCTCTGGTTTGGAGGATTTGCATCCAGACTGGGAAATAATCCCTGAAATGTTTCTCCCCTGGTGGCGTTTCCTCCTGTTTGCTTTAAGCCCAGCTCTGAAAAAGGCCAGTTAGGGAAATTACACAAACTCTACATCCTGTAGAGATTAATGCCAGATTGAACTTAAACATTTACCAAGAGTTTATTTCTGCTGTCTCCATGTTAACAGGTTCTGTTCTGCTCCAATGAGGAGTTTATTTTTAAAAAGTTTATTTTGAAATGACTCATGTTGTGTCCGTCTGTGTTCAAATCTGCGTCAGGGTCTTCAGGGGACAGTGAGGACTGTGCAATCAGCTCGCAGGGACTGCGGGTCCCCACTCAGAAGTCTTACTCGTCCAGTGAAACGCTCCGAGCCTTCGACCAGCACCAAGACCAAACCAGGTCAGAACTGAGCGCACCACAAATCTCCTTCCTTTCTGATTATGGCTCATGCTGTTTGTTACCTGCTTAAAAAGCTGACATCTCCATCCCAGACGCAGCACTGTTACATATGCCTGCTCTGACTGACTGAAGGGCCAACTGCCTAGTCTAGTGGTTAGGGCATAGAGCTTGTTTATATGCAGAGCTAACGATATCAATAATGTTAGATTATTTTTATCATTTTCTTTCTTTAGGGTTAGGGTTGTGATTTTTTTATTTTATTATGTGCTTATCTAGTTTAAAAAAAAAAAAACGCTTTTTGGCCTGTTACTAACGATGACCCACATTAATCAGACCTGATCATCCAGATTAGCAGAAATATCTCCTTAAAATGGTTCTCTCTGAATTTCATGTTATTTAGGTTTCACTTTTTGAAGTGAATTAGTGAAATTATCTAAATAAAAAAAAAACGATATTCTTTTTTCTTTCCATAATTATCTCCATTAAAATATTAGATCTGTTCTTCCTTTTTTAAAAAGAAAAGTTTAAAGCCTACATTGTAAAAAATATTAATTTAAGCTAGTTATTTCTTCTAAAAATAAATGCATTTTTTATTAAATTCAGGAGGTAAGTGAGACACTTTCTCATTGGAACAAGACAATTGATATTTAAATTGCATTGTCTTATTTTGAATGTATCTTATTTAATTGTAAAAATGCTAATTCAATTGGCAAATCATCCTATTGTCCTACTCAAAAGAAGGACTTAATTTAAAACATTTTACCAATTTTACATTTTTGCATCTATGTTAAAAACCATAAAGAAACAAAAAACGAAAACAGTAGAGATATGGTGAGTGGAATATAATGTATGGGGGGAAAAATTCAGATGGATTTCAGAGAACAGTAGATATTCAATAAGTGTTTGACTATTTACTTTTCTCTAGCTCCAAAATCTCAAAGCAGAGCTGCATCATTAGGTCCTATGAGCCTAACCTCTGGTTTGGGTCAGTGTTGGTTTTTTTTTTTTTTAAATATTATCTGAATTTATCAACAGAACATTTTGCACAAAAATTTGAATATAAAAAGTGAATGGTTGAAGAGAATCATGCAGTGAGGAGGAGTTTGAACAGCACAAACCCTGAGCTGAGCTCATCTGATCTAAAGTAAAGCAGCAAAGAACACTTTGTTCTTGGCTTTTCACAGGTTACTGTACGGTACCACAAAGGGGCACAAGGAGATGGTTCATCGTGAACAGGAGAGCTATAGCAGACATGGTAAGTTTACCCACCCGACACACACACAACTGTTTGTTTTGCTATATGTAGTGAGGACCACGTGTCGACTCCCATTGATTTTCAGTCATTTTCAACCCTTTCTATGCCCTAAAACTAACCCTAAACCTAACCATTGGAAAATAGCTTGTGAGGTCCAGCAAAATGTCCTCACTTTACAACAACTGGTCCTTATTGTCAGGGGTGGACTTAGAAATTAGGGGCCCTAGGCAAAAACAGGCAGGGGGCCCTCTGAATTGAGAAGGCAACACATAAAATAGATCCATTCTACATAGAAGATATCTATTCTATTAACATTATAGAGAAATGTTAATAGAATAGACATCCATTATTTGTTCTAGGTTTTGTCCCTCTCTTCTTGTTCCTTTTCTTGTTATTTTTTCCAAGCACTAAGCTCACTTAGCTGATTGCTCCTTCCTGTGTTTCCAAAAAGGCCAAAGTAAATAACCCAGTCCTTCTTTTCACCGTAGACAAGCCATGATCTGCTTCTCTGTTCTCCATTTTTCATTTGGATGAAATAATAGCTGCATGAATCATGACAGCAGACAAGATAGAGGAGAGCAGGAGGCGGGGTTACCAATCTACTTGCTCTGGAGAGCAGAGTTCGCTGCTTTTAGATGTTGTCTCCAAAGTCTGCAGTAGCAGAAAAAAGTCTCTAGAATTGGCGCTAGGAGCTTTTTAGAAATCAAAGTTCTAGAGGGGTCTGAAAAGTGGCTAAATATAGCGACTAAAGCGCTAAGTTGGCAACACTGCTCTTTGCATGGTTTGTTTTCAAATGGTTTGCTGCTGTCTGTTTGGACCTTTCTGAACATGAGCAGCAAATGTAAACAGAGTTCTATGGGGTCCCTGGGAACTTTGGGTCCTAGGCAACTGCTTAGTATTGCCCCTGTGATGTTGAAATTGGAAAATGGTCCTCACTCTGATTCCTAAACAGGTACACACCCTCCCCCACACACACACATAAAGCATCCTAACAAACAGAAAACTAAAAGCAAGCCGTCCTCATTTTGGATGTATTTTAAAGGTCAATAATGTTCAAATTAAATCATAAAAGCCTGTGAAAATATCACAACTGATCCAAACATTTTAGACAAACGTTTCTGCCGAACAGTTTAAAGTCTGACAGGTGCAGGTAATAGCTCTAATCATTAACAAATCAAACAGCTTGAACGGCATAAAGAACGATTCATCCAGCTGAATGTTCAGACAGCAGAGGCTCCAGCTCACCTGCTTGTAAAAGTTTGTAATAAAAAATATCATGCATTAACTATAAAATACCTTTTTTCATTCACACTGTCATAAAAAACAAAACGTACAAAATAAAAACTGGTTCCCACAAGTCCTTGAAATCCTGGAAACTTTTTGAAGACATCCATAAAAACAGTCTATTGAAAACCCTCAAATGTGTTTTAAGTTTTTACATTCAACTCAGATGATGGGTGGATGATTGTCTTTGCCGTTTACTGCATTCTTTTGTTTCCTCTATGCCTCAGCATAGTGAAGCTGTGCATCAGCAGTGTGTGCAACCTCTTTAACTGCTGGTCAGTGAGTCGGTGTGTCATGCAATATGCATGGAAAATGCTCATTTCAGGATGCATGGCTTGCCAAAGAAAGCTATGCTGAGTGGTTGTCAAAGGACCCCAAATTTGAACAGCCTCCCAGGTGCAGAGCTTGCTGCCAATCGGTCGAATCCAGAGCGTGAGGGAAGCTGCATCATCCAGCCACGCTGCAGGAGCTCATCGTAAAAATGTGTAAATTAAAAGCAGGTAGTTATATTTTGTCATTTTTAGTCTTACTTTGACTACCAAACAATCATGTATGAGTCTCTGAAATGATGATTAAAGTCCTGATGGGTGATAGTTGCTCCCTACTTGTTGGCTGCAGACCTGCAATGTGAGATTCTCCTGCACTATCAAAACCACAAGGATATTCGACGCCTTTCAAAGGAAAAGCACTGTAAAATAAAAGCTAGTATATCAGAAATATTTTACATTCCCTTGTTTATTTCCTGGGTCTTGTTAATAGAAATATTTTTCTCTATTCATGTGTTTAATGATTTATATATAAAATCTTTCCAGTTCGACTGTATAAGGTTAGAAAATGCAAATAAATGTAAAAAAAAAAAAAAAAAAAAAAAAATTAAAATAGTTCTCTTATAAAGACATCTTTGATGTGTGTTTGCAGGCATATATTCTATGTTTTCTATTCTTTTAGTATTGTTTTTGCTGTTCTTCCCTTTGCTGTTGGACCACATAGATTTGCCAATGGAGGGTGTTTGATTTCAAATTAACTAAGCTTTGTTTACTCCCAGTGAATTACTGAATATCTAGATACATGAACAAAATAGCCAATAACTTCAGTTTGTCTCCCCACCGGAGAAAACAGCAGACACAAAACAAACTTTCAAATGTCTTTTTATTTTATTTTTCTTGGAGGTGTTTTTATAGTGGAAAAAGCAGATTCCACTGCATAACGCAGCGTTTAACCTATGGTGAAGTTCCAGCGGGAGTCACATTGAAAAATATGTCTGTGAGAGACAGATAATGTTGGAATAAGTTAAAGAAAATCACGCGAAAAATAATAAAACATGGTTTTATTTGTCTTTAAGTGGGGAAAAGTAGGGAAAAAAAGGCAGATTTAAATGAGCACTCACCTCGCAAAAAAAAATCCTTCTTCTAATAAAATGGGGCAGCACATATATTTAACATGCTATTCCTGAAGGATTCCATTAAACGTTCTGAATAAACTTCTGGTACTGACTGTGCAGGTCTACAGCCAGACCCATGTCGTTTATATTGTCTCTGACAGGACTAACATACAGTTAACCTACCAAGGTGCGTACAGGTGTGTTGATGGTAGCAGCACAGCTGATATTTCTCTCCAGGATGGAGTCACA